AGGAGAGTGAGGGAAAGGAGAGTGAGGGAAAAGAGGGTGAGGGGAAGGGGAATTTGGAGGAAAGTACAGTGGATGGTGGTGGAGGAGAGAATTCGGACGAGACTGAGGGAGAGGAGAGTAAGGGAAAGGAAAGTGAGGGGGAGGAGAGTGCGGAGGGAAGAGAGAGTGTGGAGGAAATTGAGGGGAAGGAGAGTGAGAGTGAGGGGAAGGAGAGTGATGGAGAGGAGAATCTGGATGAGACTGAGGAAAAGGCGACTGAGGAAAGAGAGAGTGTGGAGGAGAGTGAGGGAAAGGAGAGTGAGGGGGAAAATGTGGAGAGGGGGAATGAAGGGGAGAAGAAGGACATTGAGGTGGAGGAGAGTGCAAAGAAGAGTGAGGGGCACAGAGACGAGGATGCGCAACATGAGGATGAGGATAACGAGAGTGATGAGCAGGCGTTTATAAGCAGGCATATTCCCGCAGACCACCCTCCCCTGGAGGAGGAGGAGGTGTTATCTACTCCGACAGTAGCCCAGCGCTACAGCAACAGTCCGGGCAACCTCCATGTCGAGCGAAGTCTCCCTATATACGACGGAGAAACTCTACCGCGACTACCGAGTAGCACTCAGGGGGCAGATTTCGAGAGCTCTGCTCGGGCGGGTGGTACGTGGCGGTCACAGAATGCTGATGAGGAGGAGGAGGAAGGTCGGAGTGGGAGTGAGCTCGACTGTTGGTATGGTCTTTGGTAGATATCAAATGGCTACCTAGTCCGCCAGAAATCCCGGGGTTTTCAGAGGAAACAACTGAAGTGATCTGTGCATCTGTAGTTAATCGAACTCTGTCTCTTCAGGAGCCTCCGATGACCAGCGCTCCGGTGGCTAGCAATCGCACTCTGCGAGGGATAAGGCCTAGGGAGATGGCGCCCAATTCGCAGAGCACGGCTTTCAACTTCCGGTGGTCATCTGGAGGCACATCACATGGTGGGAAGAGTCGAGTCAGGTTTTGTGGTAGTTTGCGTAGGTGTGCTTCCACCAGTGCTCCTAGGGCAGATCGGCGAAGCCCCGAAACTTATCTTTACGGACCCGACGATAGTAGAACGGCAGGAGTCGATTGAGGTGAGAAAATTTTGGGAAAATTTTTTGTGCAATTTTTTTCGAAATTATGTGTTTTTTTCACAATGTTGTTTTCAAGGTGAAGATTTTGGCGGATACTATGCATGTGGAGCTCCATCATCACGTTGGGGCTTCCATCGTCGGTAGCGACATCGCAGGGCGAAGTGTTGTTATTTACTTCCCGACGGACTCTGCAGCACAGGAGGGCTTTCAACTGTTCACCTCTCGCATAAGAAATGTAGGGCGAGCGCTAACTGAAAATGAGAACTTCCTTGCTGTTGTCAGACGGAGGTTTATCTACAATGATGATTTCCAGGAGAGATCTGTTGTCTTGTACGGTCAGGCTAAGCTGAGGTAGTTTTGTGCCTAGTTGGCATTTTCGTGTTTTCATGAAATTTCTATCAATTTATTCTGACTATCTCTTCCGCATGTTGATGTGATGTGAGTTACTCGAGAAGTCGACATGTCGCGTTATGCGAGTGTAAGGGAGGTTGTCTGCTTGTGGGCATCTAACACCTGTTTGCTGTTGCTTGCGTGTCTCTGTTCATCGTGACGGCTGAGAACCTGGCAAAGAGTAGACAGCACTCCGAGACGGTCTGTATTGTGTAAAAATATGAGTCAACCTCAACATTCACTTTAATATTTCGATATTGGGGGCATTTCGAATCCTCAGGCGTCCTTGAGTGATGCTCTACGTGATTCATACGAAGCTATGTCTCGCAATAAGATGATGATTCATACGCTGTCCCGTTCAACGATGAAGATGCCCTGATGATGTTGCCTTTGAGCCCACTCTTGACAATGCCACTGTTTGAATCCACATGGTGGTCTGTATTCCGATAACCTTCCAGGGGAGTATTATCTGCCATGATTAATTATTCAAACCTCCCTGTCAGATACACAACAAATGATCTTCACAGCTAATGTCGACTTTGAGGTCTTGCTTAGAGGTCCCGACTGGGTGTGATGGATCCAGAATACGTATAAGCGACTTTGGCGCAGTAGGTAGCGCGTAGGTCTCATAATCCTAAGGTCGCGAGTTCGATCCTCGCAGGTCGCATTTACTCACTAGCCTACGGCATCTCGTATACTGCATGCTGACCCGTTCATAAGCCCCAGGTGGTTCCTACACTGTAATTGGAGCAAGAACACGTCGGATACAACAAGCCAGTCTATCGATGGAACTCGTGAGAAGTCTGGGGCAATGGTCAATGTTCCCCCGGCTAGCGTTCATGATGCTACCCTCAGTGAATGCGCTGTAAACCCTATACTACAGGGCCTGTAGATATTTACAATGGAGATGATGGTGATACTGCAGGGGATGAGGAAGATAGTAATTCAGAGTGATCGACCCCAAGTACCATTCTGAAGCACTCGGTGGACCGTTTCAGTGGTAATTATGAATCACTTCATATTCTCCTTATTTTCCAAGCTATAACGAGGAGATATTCCTTTGTATGCTCATCAGTGAAAAGTTGCCTTTCCTTTCCAAGTGAATTAGAAACAAGCACACCAACACCAAGATACTGTGTACACATCAGCATTGTTCCTTGTCGTGATAGCGAACTACTCGTGACTTCCTTGCTTTCTGGATTCCCCCTATCAGCGTCAATGACGAATTATCCTTTTCTATGGGTTCATCATTACGAACTTCGACTCGATAAACACAAAACCTTTTCTATCTCGAGACTCTATTCATTCAATACGTTTCCGCTTCAACTTAGACGATCGTTTGGTGACCTCTCCCATCATCGACTCAACGTGGGGGTTGAAACCACCATAGGACCTATCCGCGATCGAACTAGCGACTTCGAGAGACCTCAGCCTTACCTGCGTCCATGCAATACAACTTGCTTCAGAGGCTGTCCTGGCTGCCGTACTGCGACATCAGCCGACTTGCAGTCTTTAAACCCCGGCACGCTCCACTCCAACCTCTTCCGTATCTTACAAACAGTTCATAAGAACTCCATCAAATGTCAACATCATAATCACCGCCCTCTGCTCTTGCTCCAGCTTCTGCTTAGCTGTCAGCTCGGCGCCTCGACTCATGAATCTCAACT